GGAAGCAGCCTGTGGGGTCATGAGAACAATGCTGGCGATGTGCATCTGTTTACAGCCAGAACTGCACTGGGTACTCGGATCCGAAGCCTCTTCAAACCTCCCACTTTCACCTTCCTCCTTGATTAACGAAAACATCTTTGGCAAAAGTTTTCACTCTGGTCCGTCTTGCACCATTCTAAGACTTTGGGCTCTTGCAACAATATGAATGTCCCAACAATTCTGCTCAATCAGCCTCTGCAAAGTTCTGACACAAACAAAATAGAACCACACTAGAATTCCATGATTCCCGGGGCCGTATCCTGGCAGCTCAAGTCTGCTTTGAGTACTCTAATTTTCTCCAAACATACACTTCAGCCTAGGGAAACTAGGCTAAGAGCCAGGAGCTCACTAGAGGCAGGGGGTGGGGACCTGCAAGGACCCTGCAGTAGACCCACAGGGAAGCAGGAGATCCAGTATCACACGAACATTTTAAGTACACCGAATTCGGTATCTGCACTGAAGCTGGGATCAGCACCAGACTTGCCCTGCGACGGATCCTCCTCAAAGGATTTAAAATGGACTCATTCCAACTATAGGACCTCAAAAGAGACCAGTGTTGTTTTTCATCACTGCTCTCCCTGGTCGCAAGCAGGTCATCTGTGCATCTGTGGTCTTTCTTGGTTGGGGTATTTGACCATCAAGCTACATTTATGCTACCAAGTCTGGACTCCTGGTTGTGATGGTCGCCACTAAAGGCACTGGGACTTCTACCTAAAGTAGTTGACAGGTCCAAGAGACAGGCGACCAATCTGGGTCATCTAGAATCACCAGAGATGCTGGTGCCTATGGGCATCGATTAGTTCCACGATTATCAGAATTATCCAGGTATGAGCAGAATAAGCACTCAAAGCCATGTGGAACATGACCACACCAGGCCACAAGTACTAGGATGCCCGTGGATTGACTTTAGAGATAGGCATGTGCTACTGAGGGATTAATCAGGTAGGGTGGTTTGGGTGCAAATGTGGGTGAGCCAACGCAGACCCGAGGCAAAGCAGTCCCACCTCACCCTGTCTCTGCAGGCAGCTCTCAGGCAGTTGCAGAAGTAGGGCACGGCAGCAAAAGTGTGGCACGGAGTGTAATGCCATCAGGACACAGTGTAAAGGAAAGCAGCAGCAATACTGCTGCACCCACACAAATAAGGGTAGTTATGTCACCCTCCAGAAACAAGGTGACTGAGTAAGGAGTGCCTTTGTGGGCACACTGCTGCCAACAGGATGCAGTGACGACGGGGAAGGGATACTCGTGTGTGCCAACAGTTGATGCCACTGGGCTCATCCTGCAATGGGGACCAGCCCCACAAGGACGGCGCAGCCCCCATGTGGCAAGAGGAAGCTATAGGGAGGACCGTGTATTGGCCAGATTGGGTGGGGCTCCTGAAAAGGAGCTGTAGCTCTGCGTTGACAGTGTGCAGCCTGCTTGAGATTCTCTCTTTCCCTCTCTGCCCCTTCCCAGTTCACGTTCTCTCAAAATAAAAACTTAAAACAATGTAAAATAAAATGTGATAAAACTTTCACTGGCTAGATCTTCATCAGGGGAAGAAAGCAGAATAACATTTAAAAAATATGTCTCAACATTCCTAAAAGCCTGTTTCTGTGCACCAACAACCCAATTCTAATTTAAAAACCATTTATTCTAAATGACTTTAATATGGAACTTGGTCCAAAAAATATTACAAATCTCTTCTGCAGTACTGACCCTTTGTTTTCCCACATCATGAAGATGTGACTAAGTTTCGTTCAAAAGCACCTCATGTATAAATATTACCCTAAATGGAAAGGTGAAGATTGTTGGTATAAACTAGAATGGTGATAAGCCCTAGCTATAAAATACTTGTAAGGCCAACATTTGGCAGTTTAGCAGTCCCCAATCCCTGATTAGACTGTGTCATGGGCATAGCCACACCTTATTAGGGAACTGGAAGCTGGGAAAAGCTGCCAACAGAAAGGCTGCACCTGCTCTCACTCTATATCCTCAATTAAATTTCCTTATCCAGTCTGTGTGTGGACTAGGAAGGAATGGAAGCTTCTTCCCTGTCAATCCGTGTTCCAGTAAAAAAATCTGAAACAAGGCATAGGTATACAGAGCTAAACATTTTTTCTGGAAGGATACATAAGAATGAAGTCATTAGGAAAATGCAGTTAAAATCACAGTAAGATGGTGACTGACGGCTGCACAACAATTAAATGTGACTATATTTAATTCCAGTGAACTGTACACTTAAAAATGATTAGAATGGTAAATTTTGTTATGCATATTTTACTACAAAAAAATTTAAATCACAGTAAGATACCACTACATACCGATTAAAATGACAAAAAGGAAAAAAAATAAAACATTTTTACCATACGACCCAGCAATCCCATTCCTAGGTACTTAATAAAATGAAAATTTATGTTTGCATAAAGACCCACATGAATTTGTACAATGGCTTCATTCATAATTTCCCCTAAATGGAAACAACCAATCCAAGCATTCCACAATTGGAGAACAGATAAACTGTGGTACATCTGATATTCTTTTCTACAACAGAATACTGTTAAGCAATAAAAAGGAATGAAATAATGATATATACAACAATGTAAATAAATCTCAAATTAATTGTATGTTAAGCAAAAGAAGCCAGACTGAAAAAAGCTCCATACTATATTATTCCATTTATGACATTCTAGAAAAGGTAAAACTAGAGTCAGAAACACATCAGTGGTTGTCAGGGTCTCTGCCCAAAAAAGGGAACAGGGGTATTTTGAGAAGTGGCTGAACTATTCCATACCTTGAATGTGCTAGCTACATGACTGTCTGCATTTGTCAAAAACTCATGGACATTACCATTGATAAATGGATAAAGATGTGCTGTAGGGGCGCCTGAGTGGCTCAGTCTGTCGGGCAACTGACTCTTAATTTTGGCTCAGGTCATAATCTCATGGTTTGTGGGTTCGGGCCCTGCGTGGGGCTCTGCAATGACAGCGGAGCCTGCTTGGGATTCCCTCCCTCCCTCCCTCCCTCCCTCTCTCTCTCTCCCCCTCAAAAATAAATAAACATTAAAAAAAAGAGAGAGAGACATGTTATATACACATACAATGATTGTTATTCAGCCATAAAAAAGAATGAAATCTTGCCATTTGCAACATATGAATGGATCCAGAGAGATTATAGCTAAGTGAAAAAAGTCAGAGAAAAACACATACCATATGATTTAACTCACATGTGGAATTTAAGAAACAAAACAAATGAATAAAGAAAAAAAGAGAGAGACAAACCAAAGACAGCCTCTTAACTACAGAGAACAAACAGGTGGCTACCAGAGGGGAGGTAGGTGGGAGGATGGGTGTTAGGTGAAGGGGATTAACAGTACACTTATCATGATGAGCACTAATATAGGAACCGTTGAATCATTATATTGTATACCTGAAACTAATATAACACTGTATGTTAACTACACTGGAATTAAAAAACTACACAAACTGACCCAGACCAAAAAAAAAAAAACGAAAACACAAACAAAAACAAAAAACCCCGTGAACATTAAATAGTAAGGTAAATTAAAGTATCGTTTAAATACTTTAATTGAAGAACAAATGGGAAAGGGTAATGACATGAAAGTTACTGTTCCCTCACTCAAATGTAGTCTGATGAAGTTGCATACTGAAACGTATCCCAACATACACATTAATTTCATCCAGTCAGACAGGAACTAATGCCATTAGGGACTGTGGAAATCATCAGCACTGGACATTAAATATTTCTGGCATTCCTTTCTGGATAAATAATAGGACTGCCCTCCCTGCCACTCTGAAATTAGAAATGAAATACAAGCTAGAGTGATGTGTACCACTTCTGGGTAGAAAACTCTGGGAGCTAACGAACACAACTCACCACACTGCATTTTCCTGCCTTAACGACTGTGGAAGCACACTAACATGGAGCTTCCAGCAATCTAGGTTTCCACATGACCGCAGGTACCAGGGGCATCTCTCCCCAGCCTGTACCAGACATGATGCTCAGGGAGAAAGAAACCTCTGTCGCTTTAAGCTGCCGTGACTTCTGAGTTGTGCCTAAGACATAAATTAGCCTATCCTGTTTCAGAAAGGGTCTTAGCAGCTTCGGGGGCAGGGGAGAGCAACTAAAACACAACTACCACCAACACAGAAAGTCAGAGAAAGACTAACCTGTTTTGTATACTAAAATCAATCACACCACCCAACACCTCAACAGAATAATATGGCCAAGGTTATAAGACAATAAAGTTTGCATAAGGCACAGCCTGAGGCCTTTTAGTAAAACTGAAATAATAAAGTTCTGTGGTAGAACAAGGCTCCCACCGGATTTACATGCAGCAAAACTACAAATCTTGTCAGGCCAAAGTAAAAACATCGCATTTTACTTGTTAGGAATGCAAACCTGCTTAGAAACAGTGAAGAGAAACTCTTCCTGCCTTTTTTTCCCCCCTTCCCTCTCCCCAGGCTCTTCCCGCTTTTCAAAAGTAAATTTCTTCTGTTTAATCGTGTGGGAACTTTTGTGGCTTTATTTGAATACCTAATATCTTCACAAAAGCATACCCTTTAATAGCACAGAGCCTAGCTCAATAAATATATGTGTTTTTTTGTTTGTTTGTTTTTTTACTGAAAAACTTCAAATCCTTAGTAACTGAGTATGGAGATGGCCCAGGAAATGAGAGGGAGGGAGAAAAGAACAACCAGTAAGAAGAGTAGGTTACCAAGTTGGAGTCAGCTGTGGAAGTCAACACCCGTACTGGTTTGGCCCATCCCATCAATTTTTCTAGCCAATAATCCAGTTCACCAAATGTATCCTAAGCACCTACTACAGAAAAAAGAAGAGCTTTGGGTAGATGTCATTATTTTTAGGCTATCATCTACCTTGAATGTTTTTCCACATAAGATTTTAAAATGTTTGCACAATCCTTCAGGTAATCAACTAATGATAACTCAAAAAGCAAAGGGTTGGTAAATTATTAAAAGACTTTATTTTCCAGAACAAGTTTACATTTACAGAAAATCTGAGAAGACAGCGCAGTGTTCTCATACGCACAGCACCTAGTATCACGTTTTTAACACCTTACATTAGGATGGTACTTTTGTTTGAATCTAATGAACTAATATTCACACATTATCATAAACTAAAATCAACAGTTCATTCAGATTTCCTTTCTCTGCACCAAATATCCTTTTTTTTTTTGTTCCAAAATCCACCTGACGTTTATTTAGCTGTCATGTCTCCTTAGCTTGGCTAAGAGTTTCTCTTGGCTCTGGCAGTTTCTTAGGCTTTCCTTGTTTCTGATGACTTCGGTTGTTTTAAGGAGTATTGGGTAGGTATGCTGTAGGATGTCTTTTTCAGAACGTCTCATGTTTTGCTCATGATTAGAATATGGGGCTATAGGTCTGAGGGAAGAAAATCACATAGGCAAAGTGCCATTTTCATCACATCGTATTAAGGGTATATACCATTAACATGAATTATGATTGTTAATGTTGGCCTTGAGTCATTTGGCTGAAGTAACAAAGGATTTTTAATATCTGATTACCAATAGAATTTTACAATTAGTAGCTATGATCACAGTAGGCAAATATTAATATAGGATTGAAAAATATTACTCAAAATGTCAGTGAATAACCTACATACCCAAAACCAGGGGAATGGGCAAATTAAATTGTGGTACATTCACTACATGGAATATAGAAAAATGCAAAATGTTAAGTAAACAAAATGGGAATAAAAACTGAAATAAAATACACACTGTACTTCCTACTAGGTAAAAATATCAGAATAGCCTAAAAGAGAAAATACAAAAAAAAAAAAAAACCAACATAGCCATTATAATTGGTTAGATGAGAACACTGGTGATTTTCTTGCCTTCCTTCCCCAAAGTTTCTAGTGCTTCACTGCCACTCTCTACCTGGAAAAGTTTGCCTATAAAAAAATGTACATGGGGCGCCTGGATGGCGCAGTCAGTTAAGCGTCCGACTTCAGCCAGGTCACGATCTCACGGTCCGTGAGTTCGAGCCCCGCGTCAGGCTCTGGCTGACGGCTCAGAGCCCGGAGCCTGTTTCAGATTCTGTGTCTCCCTCTCTCTCTGCCCCTTCCCCGTTCATGCTCTGTCTCTCTCTGTCCCAAAAATAAATAAACGTTGAAAAAAAAAATTAAAAAAAAAATGTACATAATTAGGCCTTGCAAACACAGGATTCAAAATCCTAATTCTACATATAGCCCAAGGTTTAGTTATTTTCTCTCTCCAGATAACTTATTACAAAATGAACATTCACCTGTACTGTTGCTCTTGGAAGCCTGAAAACCACATTTTTTGGGCTTCTTTGCTGACTAGGCTTGAGTTGCATTCGGTCAACAAGCACTTTTGCCGGAAAAGGTAAAGCCATTTCCTACTACTGGCTCTGAAAACAGCAGTGGCGGCTACCTGCAGGTGCTGTGGACTCCTGCAGTAGTTACAGATCCTGGTGGTGATTCTGCCAGCAGCACAGGCAGTGGCTCCAATGGCTTTGGGAGGGGTGGGCTGGGTATCAACGCATTCCCTCTCAGCTCCAGATTCGTTCTTCAGTATCCGTCCAGTGGTAAGAGACTGAATCCTGAAGCCTTTCTTTACACAAACATGTCAGTACAGGGTGCTGGAGGGACAAGGCAAGAAGAAGGAAGTGGTTTTCCGGCTCCTGCTGCACTGTCAGTAGGTCTGTTATAATGTCTACCTTTTCACAATCCTACTGGTAAGAAGAACCCAATACACTCCAGGCCTTGTACCTAACAATGGTAGCCAAGTTCCTCTGCATGCCCATCCATCAACTCTGGCTTGCCTGCACCCTGGAGGGTTGCTTCCTGCTTGCCCAGAAACTGCAGACCAGCTCTGAACAACTCCACATTTCTCCAATGTCTGAACCACAGACGTGAGGGGGGCCCCACCAATTCAGAACGTGTCCCTACTTGGATAGACTCCCTCTTGTCCAAAGTACCCTTTACAGTATGCTTTATACCTTTATAGCTACGCTCTTACTGTAGCTTAATAATTCTTTCAACTTCCTCTGGCTAAATTACTGTGTGTTTTCTGTCTCCTCACTAGACCAAGACTGCAAAAAACAAACAAACAAAAAACAGTAAAAAAAGAAAAAGAAGATTTAAAAAACCAAGTGGAAGGTTTAGAATTGGAAAATACAGGGAGTGTGGGCTCATCATCCTGGACTTGAGCTCGACAGCAATGGCTACCACAAGAAACAGCACTTGTACAATTCTTTGGACTTGCCAGCTGGACTAGCTGTTTCTTCCTTCCATGAACATCATGTTGTTTTTTGAAACATCATGTTTACCATGGGTAAAAAAAACTGAGAAAACAAAAACAAAAACAGTTATTCAGGTCTAGGTATTCGGCAGACATTTTATCACAAAAGAATCAAGTGAGCCCAGGAGTGAAGGAAAACAACTAACGATATTTACTGCCAATAATAAAAATCAAACTTTCAGACAAAAATTATGATTTTAGAAAACTTGTATCCATCACAACGAGCATAACAGCCTCTCTAATACCTAAAAGGCTTTTCAAGACGAGCTAGGTGGTGACGTTAGTGAATGGAAGCTTTTCTACTACCATTTGGAAGATATGCAGAACTCAGCGACTATCTACCAAAAGATCAACACATCATGCTACAAAACCATGCATGAGTAAAAAAATAACCCAATAGATTTTTAAAAATAGCTTTATTGAGGAATAAGTGACATTCAATAAAATGCGCTTAAATATCACTTGGTACACTTGACAATGATAAAACGGTCACCACAACTGAAATAAGGTATCCATCACCACCAAAATTAACTCAAGTTCCTTGATAATCTCACTGTCCCACTCTCCTCTCCGCCCCATTCCTAAGCAAGTACCTATCTGCATTCCAGTACTTTGGATTAACTTGCATTCTCTAGAGTTTTATGTAAGTGGCACATACCCTGGCTTCTTCTTTCACTCACCCTAATTATTTTGAGATTCATCTATGTTGTTACGTGTATCAAAAGTTCATTTCTTTTTAGCACAGACTAGTATTCCACTGTATGGATGTGTCACAATTTGTTTATCCATTCGTCTGTTGATGGGCATTTGGGCTAGTGCAAGTTTTGGGATTTTACAAATAAAACTGCTATGTACATGCACATACGAGTTTGTAGGCATTCATTTCTCCTAGTAAACCCCTAGGAGTGCCATGGCTGGATCATGTGTTAAGTGCATGTTTAACTTTCTAAGAAACCGCTACACTGATTTTCAAAGTGGCCGTACCATTTTACATTCCCACCAGCAGTACACGAAAGCGCCGGTTGTTCCACATTCTCACCAACATTTGGTATGGTCGTCCTTTACAATTTCATCCTTTCTAACAGGTACACAATAGAGATATCTCATCGTAGTCTTCTTTTGTTAACAGCTTTATTGAAACACACAAATTATAAAGCTCAACAACTTAAAGTATTCAATCTGATGGTTTTTAATTTATGTACAGAGTTATGCAACCATTACCACAATCTAGTTTTTTAACAACTTCATCATCCCAAAAAGAAACCTTGTAACAATATATCAACAGTCACTCCTCATTCTTTGTTTTTATACAGATTTGCCTATAGGGGATATTTCACACAATTTGAATCATATGAAATGTGGTGTTTCAGGACTAGCTTCTTTCACCTAGCATAATGCTTATGAGGTTCAGCCAAGTTGTAATACATACCAGTATTTCACTCCTTTGTATTTCCAAATATTCCATGTTATAGATCTACCACATTTTACTTATCCATTCATCAGATAATAGACAACGGATTGTGACATTTTTAATCCTCTTGGGTATATACCTAGGAATGGAATTGGCAGCTCAGTTTAACTTTTTGAGGTTAATTAGCCACACTATATACATTCTCACCAGAAATGAATGGAAGCTCCAATTTCTCCACAATCCCAACAACACTGATTATCCGTCCCTTTTGATGACACTCATTGTTGTGGGTGTGAATTCTTTCACTGTCATCTTGATTTGCATGTACCTAATGACCAGTGATGCTCTGCATCTTTTTATATGCTTACTAGCCATGTGCATATATCCTCTGGTGAAGTTTCCAAAATCTTTGGGCCATCTCTTAAACTGGGTCATTTGTGGGCACCTGGATGGCTCAATTGGCTAAGCATCTGACTTTGGCTCAGGTCAAGATCTCGAAGTTCGCAAGTTCGAGCCCCTCATCAGGCTCTGTGCTGACAGCTGAGTCTGCAGCCTTCTGATTCTGTGTCTCCCTCTCTCTCTCCCCTCCCCCATTCACACTCATCTCTCAAAAATAAACATTAAAAAAAACTTTTTTTAATTGGGTCATTTGTTTTCTTCTTAATTGAGTTTTGAGAGTTTCTTATATACTCCAGTAAGTCCTTTTATCAGATATATGTTTTGCAAACATTTTCTGTGGCATGTCCTCATTCTCTAAACAGTGATGAATTTTGATGCCATCTAATTTAACAATTTCTTCTTTTAGGGATCATGCTTTTAGTGTTGTACCTAAGAAATCTTAGCAAACTAACCCAAGATCACAAAGATTTTCTCCTATGTTCTTCTAAAACTTCCACAGTTAGGTTTTTCATTTAGATCTAACATCCCTTTGGGCTAATTTTGGTACATGGTCCAAGGAATGCCTCAAACTTCATTTTCTGCCTTTGGACAATTATTCCAGCACCATTTGTTGAAAAACTATACTTTCTCCACCGAAATGCTTTTGTATCTTTTTTCTTTTCCTTTTTTTTGGGGGGGGGGCGGGGGAGAGAGAAAGAGAGAGTAACGAAGTTTGAGCAGGGCAGAGGGGAAGAGGGAGAGAGAGAATCCCAAGCAGGCTCCAGGCTCAGCACAGAGCCCGACACAGGGCTCGATCCCATGACCCTGAGACCATGACCTGAGCCAGACGCTCAACAGATGGAGCCACCAGGCACCCCTGCTTTTGTATCTGGATTAGTCAAAAATCAATTGTCTATATACGTATGAGTCTATTCCTGGACTATCCTGAGCCATCAGACCAATGGATTTTAATTTAAGTTGATTTAATTTTTAAAAGGTGATATATATGTTTTCAGATGTAATACTGCTTAAAGAAACTACTACTTGTCAACTTTTGGCATAGTATCAAAGGATATCAAAAATTACCTGAAAATATACCTCCCTTTTCAAATTACCTGTGTGAAGCCAAATTTTCTTCATACACTTTAACCAAAACATATGGCAAGAGGAACTACAGAGGCAGAGATGTGAATCCAATTGTCTTGTAAGAATCCAGGCATAAAAGAGATTGGCAAAAAATTCAAACAATGATACTCTTCTCACTGAGGTTTTTATCTTGGAAAATACATTTATCATAAAGTTATTTTTGTTAACATGTATTGTATTTAAAGTTCTGTTTTCATTTCTAATAGAGTAAAAAGATAACCCCTACATAAACAAAAGTCCTGGGGCACCTGGGTGGCTCAGTCGGTTGAGTGTCCGACTTCAGCTCAGGTCACGATCTTGCGGTCCGTGAGTTCGAGCCCCACGTCAGGCTCTGGGCTGATGGCTCGGAGCCTGGAGCCTGCTTCAGATTCTGTGTCTCCCTCTCTCTCTGCCCCTCCCCCGCTCATGCTCTGCCTCTGTCTCAAAAATAAATAAACGTTAATAAAAAAATTAAAAAATAAATAAACAAAAGTCCTATGGCTCCTCAGTATTTAAAAGTGTAAAAGGAGGGGCACCTGGGTGGTTCAGTCAGTTAAGCGTTCAACTCTTGATTTCGCTCAGGTCATGATTCCAGGTCATGGGATTAAGCGTCTGCTTAAGATTCTCTCTCTCATGGGGCACCTGGATGGCTCAGTCAATTAAGCGTCCGACTTCGGCTCAGGTCATGATCTCGAAGTTCACAAGTTCGAGCCCTGCATCAGGCTCTGTGCTGACAGCTCAGAGCCTAGAGCCTGCTTCTGATTCTGTGTCTCCCTCTCTCTCTGCCCTTCCCTGCTTGTGCTCTTGCTCCCTCTCTCTTTCTCAAAAATACATAAAAACATTAAAAACACACACACACACTCTCTCTGTCCCTCTCTCCTGATCACTCTCTCTAAAATTAAAAAAAAAAAAAAAAAGTGTAAAGGAATCCTAAGTCCAATGGTCTACAAACTGTTCCATTTAATAAAAGTGCCTCTGAGGAACTTTGAAATGGCTAAGAATGGGGGAATTCAATATTTGATAAATGGAGAAGAAAGAGACAAGGAACCTCCAAATCTTCTATCTCAAAAGTGCTATAATAGAATTACATACTAAAAATACTAAATTTGATTGTATACAAATTATACCTTATTAACCTATCAGTACAGAATACACAAGTGGAAGCAGGGAAGTGAGAGAGAAAAGTAAAAAAGACATTGTAATTAAGTTC